TGAGAATCAGAAATGGAAAACTTCCAAGCCCTGGTGGGATAACAGGCAGATGCAGCTCTCTTCCTGCTTCTGTCAGCATTTGCTACATTAGCTTAACTCAGGCAACAGTCAAGCTTGCCTCCCGGGGGTGGACACAGAGAAGAGGAAAAAGAGGAAGGGAGGCACTGAGAACGAAAGGCCAGTAGCTGCCCCAACACCACCACTGCGGGGGTGAAGCCAGATCAAATGTTTTTTTTCATACTGTTCCAGAGTTATTTACGGTAAAAACCTCCAGCATGACCCTTTTAGGCACAAACAAAGCCTTGTTCTCTTTTAACAAGTAGTCTCTTGATTTCCCACACATTATGTTGAACAATGAAGTTGGGGCGCAGGATACAGCAGATGACATCAACCTCCCTCAAGTCTGAGGCTTGTTTGCGGGCCGAAATCCTGGTCTGTGGCCAGCCGGATGCTTTCACAGAGGGCCCTACTGTCTGTGCTGCCAGGCTGATATGAATATGGAGGCAGAGGCTTAGCATCAAACACCAGTCATCAACTGGCAAACCAAGGTCACTGTACCCCTCAAGGTCACCTTTATAATCTGTTCCTCTTCCTAAAAACTAGATTGTCTTCAGAACTTATCACTGACTTCAAAATCTAAGCAGTCCCCCTTTCTAGAGCAGTCTGGAAGAGGCAAAGCTGTAGACAACTGGTCACTGAGTAAGAAACACCATCCTTGAACTTTTATGAAGAAGGAAATGGGTCAGGGCTTAAGAGCTAGAAGATTTGTATATAATACAAGAAAAAACTCGACTGTAATGCAATCAAACGTTAATGTACAAACTGTCCTCTGTAGCAAACCATCTAGTTACTGGTCTGGTTTTAATCCACTGATAACAGTATCATTAAATATCAATTTAAGAGGGCCATATTTTCACTAAAAGAAAAAGGTGAGCCCAAGCAAGGATTCACATGGTAGTTACTGATAAAAGAAAAGCTTCTTTTGAGAAATAAGCAACAGGTTTTTGATTGTTTTCCTCTACAACACAGAAATGTTCTCAGTACAGACACCGGAAATATAACCATTCTCTTAAAAACCCAGGCAACTGTATTACATAGAATGTCTCTTCACACTGTCCAGCATGGGTGCTCATGTCTGAAGTCCCTTCACTTAGGACCATTGGCTCCTACAACTACAACAGACTTTATTAAGACCTCAAGTTAATAGAGTAACATCTATATTAACTATGGATGATGAGGGGGTACTTCCAACTTCAAATCTGGGTAACAAAATCTTTATAATCTATGACTAAGGATGGCTTAGCTTCATTTTGTGCAATGAGTGGGAAAGAGAGTGATAAGGTAGACAACTGGAAACCTACAACACAAAGTGTGTCTGAAACAGCTTGTTTTGCGTTGTTTGTTTGGTTGGTTTTGGTTTTTCGAGACAGAGTTTCTCTGTAGCTTTGAAGCCTGTCTTAGAACTTGCCCTGTAGACCGAGCTGGCCTCAAACTCACAAAGATCCACCTGTCTCTGCCTCCCAAGTCCTCATGGTGGGTGGAGACAATCAACCATCCCCACACTGCACCAGCTATCAAGTACCTACATCAAAAAGATAAAATGGAATCCGATTCCATATTTATACCTTACTCCTTTGTAAGAAATAATGGCGGAGCTGTCGGAGTGGGTGCTGGGAACCTAACTGAGGTCCTCTACAAGAATAGTACTTGTTCTTAACTGCTAAGCCACCTCTCTGGCCCCAACAAATTAATTTTAAATAGGTCTTTTTCAAACAAGTGGGGAAATTTTAAAATTGTTGTTGTAATTTATTGTGTGTGTGCACATTCTGCATATGTGCACAGGTGGAAGTTAAGAGTTAGAGGACAGCTTTTGGGAGTTGACTGTTCCCACCCACCACATGCATCCCACGGATTGAACTTAGGCGTAGTGACAAGAGCCTTTACCTATGGAAATCTTAGTATATGATGGGTATTACATGACATTAAGGAATCATTATGGGATTTTAATGTGTTTGGTTTTGAGAAAGGGGTTTGAATCTGTTAAACCGTACAGGTCTCGAACTCACAGGCTCAAGGGATCATCTCACTTCAGCCTGGTTCCAAATTCCTGGGGCTCAACTCATCCTCCTGCCCCAGTCCCCTGAGTAGCTAGGACTACAGACACATGCAACTGTACCTAGCTCAATGTTAATTTTGGAAGGGTGTCACATGGCCATAAAACATGGTAGTCATGTTCCTATCCTTTTTTAAAGATTCAAGCTGACGTCGACTGTACTGAAATATCTAGGGTTTCCTGGGCCTGGAACAATTTAACATAAAATACTAAAAGGAAAAGAGTGAAGATTAAGCCAGCGTGGATCCTGAACAGCCACAGAATCTGGATAGCAGAAGTAAACGGTTATATTCTCTCTAACAGTGAGGGCAAAACACTGCCAACAGCCACGCGGTTGGCAATAAAACTCAGGACTTTGGCATCAAAATTTGTATGTTTTTTAAAATTTCATTTTTAAAATCAGATAGGACAAGGGGCTCACATGTTTGCAAGGCAACTCATTAAGACCTGGTACTGCTGGGCATACGGCACACAGCTATAATTCCCGTACTTGCAAGGCTGAGGCAGGAGGAGAGAGGGTTCCAGGCCAACCTGGGCTTCCGTGAGGCCTAACATCAAAAAAAGAGGGGAGTACTGGTCACTCCAAATTCCCTTTCTCCACCACTGTCAGCTACACTCCTTTAATCATCGCTGCTTCTCAGTTTTCTTCTTTCTTGATACCTGGCTCAATTCGTTCCTGTGTATTATCTACTTGCCAGCTGGGTTTAGGGTTCCAGTAGTCCAATGAAGCTGGCTCGTAGCAAGGACATAGCAGACAGAGTGGGAGTAACTAAGTGTTGGTGAAATCCTCGTGAGTAGAGGCACAAACTCCTGCTGGTGAGGTCCCTTTAATAGCCTCTGGTCCACCCTCAGATGCTCCTTCCTCTAGGGTTACAGCACAGCTCCTTCTTCCACTCAGTGCTACCAGAAGCGAAGGGCCACACTGAACACTCCAGAAAACACAAACAGGAGAACAAGGCCTGCCCTTAGGAAACTACTGGCCTAAGAAGGAGACAGAGGGTAAACAGAAGTAGTGACAATGAGCTCTGGTCAGGAAGGCCCTAGTTAGAACATGGATGGGAAACTAACAACATAGGAAGAAGCTTCAAGAGTGTTCTCATGAGGAGCATGTTGGTAAATGCCAATTATCAGAGAGGCAACAGTGAGCCACTGAGTGCTTTCCAAACACAGGACTCCAGGGGCAACAGAAACGGGAGAGCAAGGCCTCTTTGGCTGTTCAAACTCTTTGATTCTGGGCACCACTTCTACAACGAAGAGCCCAAACATTGTAACTACATCTTGAAAATGTATGTGCTATCATCACCACTTAGACAATTCATACACACAGTTAAAAAGAAAGAAATAACCAGTGTTAAATGTGAATGAATACAATTACCCAGAACACAATCAACTCTTGACTATTAACATCTCAAAAATCTGGCCAGGCAAAACTTGAAAACCCAATGGCATTATGTAAAGCAGCTGTCACCACCCAATGGTCCAGCCGAACCTGGTGTAGCTAAGTGAAGACACTAGAGACTACGACCATCTTGTGACCAATAATGAACTCCAATAAATCCCAGAAATCAAAAATCAAGAGCAAAAGGAAGATAGTGGCACTTTTTCATCAATTCACTGAGTGGGCCAATTCCATCGGGAACACTTGTTCATTCTACCTGAGCCTCAGTTTCCTTATTTATGGAGTGTTTGAACTAACCGTACAACCCTTAAAAGGCACAGGAAGTGACACGGCAGATGCTTAAATATATAACAAATTTTATTAGTCACAGTCAATCTTATTGTCTCCCTTATCCTGTAGGTGTTGCGGTGTCTTATGATGTCAATCCCACTGATCTTCTAAGGATTACTCGGGGAAATCACGTTATTGCTCAAGATTCCTGAGCCCTTCCAGGGGCAGGACCTTGACGACAGCCGAAATAGTCCAAGCTCTCTAGGCTCACGGCCCGCCAACGCCTCCCCAGCCCTTCCACGGGCCCGGGATTTGGGCGCGCAGCCCCGCCCCGCGAACCCCAACGCGCGGGGTGAAGGGGCGGTCCGCACCGCACGTCCTGAGCGCTGGGGTGGGGGGTGGGGAGCAGGCCAACCCCCGGCCTCCGCCCGCCGGCCTCCCC